CTTTCAGGTTCTTTCTTTTCCTTTACCTCCCTGTTTCCTTTCCATTTTCCTGGTTCCTGTAGTTATGTCTGGATACATACTCACTTATCAGGGTTTGGTTCTTGGATCCATATATGAGGGAGAACATATGTCGATTTTTTTTCCCGAGTCTGTGTTACTTCACTTAGTATAACAGTTCTAGTTCCATCCATTTACCTGCAGATTTCATGATTTCATCTTTCTACTGCTGAGTAAAACTCCATCGTATATATCTTTCAGTTTTTAAAGTCGAAATTCTCTGATTTCTGCATTTATTTTTAAGATTGTTTTGGGCCATTTTATCAAGGTAGACTTCCTTGATAAAAGGCTGTTGAACAGTTCTTGTTTGTATCACTGAGGAAGAGTACTGCTGGTTTATAAGAGAAACTTAGAGAATTACATACTACAGGCAAATTCAATTCTCAGTAGCCAGGAGATGAACTGAAGAACTACTATACAACTCCCAATAGAAGTCAGTGATTTTATTTAGTGTCAAAGTTAGAGGAAAAACAGTAGTAAATTAAGATAGCTAAGTATATCTAAAACTATGGACTACTGGAATGTAAGGACAGCCTAAGGAATTTTAAGAGTAATATTGACTCTGTGTGAGATAATATAATCTACCTGGTAAAATATGTTTATATTGTTTAAAAATGTTTTTCATCAGGTGTGGTGATGCATACCTATAGTCTCAGTATTCAGAGGATTGAGGTATGAGTTTGAGACTAGCCTGAGCTATATTGTACTAAGCTAAGCTAAACAGGGTTGCATACCAAGACCTTGTGCTAGAAAACAAATAAAACACAGGAAAATGTTATCCAGTTTAGTCATACATTCTCTTGTTCATTGGCTACTTTATCATCTAATTATTACTTTTTCCTTTCTAGAGCTTAAGAAGCCACCCTTGGCTCCCAAGCCAAAGTTTGCAGTGGCAAATAATAAGCCAGCTCCCCCCCCAATTGCACCTAAGCCAGACACCATGAATGCTAGTGCTTCTCGGTTAACAAAGAAAACCAAACCAGCAATTGCACCGAAACCAAAAGTTTTGACAGACTCAGTTGTTCCAGATGCTAAGCAGTCACCAAGGAAAATCACCATGAACCTGGAGGAGCACGAACTGGAATTACCTGAAAGCACTGACAAGTTTAATTGCAAAAATGTTGGGGAGCCACACAGTGATTATATTTTACCAACAAGCTCCTACAGTTCTGACTGTATTCATAAGCCTGGGAATTCAGAGAGTCTGTGTGTAAAGCAGCTTGTTTTAGAGCCTCTGGGAATGAAAGAAAATTTAGAAAACAATAAAAATGATGAGTCCTCTTTGACTGCAAAAGGTAGAAGTAAATGGGATTCACATGGTGAAAAGTGCAGGAGCCAGAGCAGAGTAATTTTAAAGGCCAGCTTGCTGGAAGAGAAGCTCAAAGAGGTTTTAACACAGCAGACATCTCCTTGTGCCCCGAGGAAGCACAGCTCCCCAGACAACCCAGAAGTGAATGGTGACTGCAATTCCAGCAGACAGTTCAGAATTGAATTTGCAGGTTTGTCACCTTCCCTGTCCAGTTTTGAAAAAGTTCCTTCTCATCACGGCTGCCACCAAGAGCTTCCTAGGGATGAATCTCAAAATCCTGAGACTTGTCGGGATGACAGTGAAAACAGCAGTGGTCACTTCCATTCATGTGAACCAGATGGCAAAAGGGGGACTTTGCTGTCTTCAGATGGAATTGGTGAGACAACACAAGTCGAAGATCTTGGGCCTTTAGAAATTTCCTTAATACGTCATACCTCAAGATTTCCAACTCCCAAACCCAGGAAGACTCACACTGCCCGGCTACTTCGCCAAAAGTATGTAGATACTCCTAATCAAAGTACTGAAGAACCAGAGACTTCAAACAATACCTCTTCTTGTCTTACTGATGATAGTTTGAAAAACAATAAAGTCGGTGTTCTTCATCAGAATGTTTTCTATAACCAGGAGCAAGTGAACAAAGTGAAGCCAAGGAATAAAAGGGAATTGACTAGTGAGTCCAACAGTGACCGACGAGGCCATTCTGAGAAAGCTGTGTGTCATGAGACATCTTCCTTTGAAGAAGTGACACCTTCTTTAGATACAGACTCTAATTTCAGTTCAGACAGCACAATAGAAGATGGTTCTAGTACATTATCTACTGTGGACAAAGGGACCAGCTTTATAAGATCCAGTGCTCAGTCTTTGAGCCTGCCTAAGCAGGTCAAATTAACTTACAATGCATATCTGCCAACTACGTGTGACCCAGGATCGTCAGTCCTTCAGGTGCAAAAGGAATCTTCCTCAAAAATTGTTCCCAAAAAACCTCAAAGACACAGCTTGCCTGCTTCAGGAATGCTTAAAAAGGCTGCTTCTGATGAACTTGTGGAAAAAAAATCTTATTCTTCAAGTGAAGAAAAAAATTCAGAGAAGGATCTACAAAGAAATCACCTTCAACCTTTGTGTCCCCTAAACCATGGTATAACATCATCATCCTTTGATAAGCCCAAACCAATTTCAGAAAAGCCAGTATGGAAATTACCTCATCCTATTTTACCCTTTTTAGGGAACCCAGAATCCTTGAAGTGTGTCACTTTATCCTCAAATAATGAGCCTCCTATTGCCTTATCGAAGCCAAGAGCAAAATCATTATCTGCTGTGGATATGGACAGGTGCAATAAGCCTTGCAAAGAGCCTCCTAAGAAAACCTCTTTTAAAAAGTTGCTTAATGTGAAACTGTCCATTGGTTTCATGAAGAGTGACTTTCAGAAATTTAGGTCAAAAAGTAGCCAGCATGGAGATGCCACTACAGGACATGTGCTCAGTACAGGGCAGCAAGGGCTTGAAAGTGATTGGCATGGTTTGCTGATAGGAGAAAAGAGAAGTAAAACCATCAAGGCATATTCTGCAGATAATTGCAGCCTAGAATCTCAGAAGATGAAGAAGTCTTGGGATCAGATGAGTACAGCGAATGGTCAGAGAGCTGAGTCTTTGGATGACCAGATGCTCTCCAGGGATTCATCTTCTCAGGTGCCCTGCAAGTCTATTACAAGTGACAGTGCACCAGAGTATGAAAATGTACGCCATTATGAGGAGATACCCGAGTATGAGAATTTACCATTTCTTATGGCTGGAGGGAAAACTCCAGAGTTGGAATGGCAGAATTGCAGCAGTGTGGAGGACACCGATGCAAACGTTTATGAGGTGGAAGAGCCCTATGAGGCTCCAGATGGCCAGCTGCAACTTGAACCTAAACATCAGTGTTCCAGGTAAGACACAGGTGCCAGATAGACCTGCACTTTTGTATGTGTCGTGGTAGTGAGCTTCAACAACTCTATGATAAAGGAATGCAGAGAGGAAAATCACTTAGTAAGGAACTGATTTCAGAAGAGTAGAGGGAACTAGTTCCATGTACAGCCTCTTTTTATCATACAGTGGGAATGGGTATTTGCATTGCAAGCTTGTGAAACTTATTATAGTAGCTGATTCAAAGAATTTAAATAGTGGCAATATACTTGCTACAAAGAAGGGCTTAGAGCAAAGGTCCCAGGGCTTCCCTGGTGCACCACCTTAGAACCTTAAACAGGAAAGTGGTTAATTCAGTGAACTTTATTTTCCAAGTGTAGGAAATCTAAAGTTATTGAAATCCATGCATTTACATACGGTGCCATTGTCAGGTGAAAATTCTAGATTTCTGAGGTTGCCGGTCTTAAGGATTATATATTTTACTTGTAAGCTAATTGCTGACTTTAGGTAACTATAGGGAGAATTCAGGAAGGGTAATTAGTCTTCTTTCTCCCTTTTGAATATACTCTTCCCACATTTGGGAATCCCTCCTCCATCCTTTCTGGTGTTATGAAGTTTTTTTGGTAAACACTTCCTGCTCTCAACCTCCAGTTATCTTGTGATGTTCTTTCTGCCTATGTCTTAGTCTTTCTGAGGGCATATTGTTTGTTGGTGTATCTTGCATTGTGTATTCAGTTTTTTTAAAAAAAGTATTTATTAATCATTGATGATTTCATGCATGTCTATAAAGTATTTTGATCAATTTTTGCCACCTGTTACCCTCTCATCTTCCTCTACTCCCATTAAATTTTCTTCTTCCCAATAAGTCTCCCTCTTATTTCATGTCTTTTTTGTTTATTTATGTATTGCCCTTGTGACCCACTGAGTTGAATTCTGGTTGCTTGTATGAGCATGAATGGGGAATTATCTACTGGAGCATGGATACATTAACAGTGGTTATACCATGAAAGAAACAGCATTCAGTTTTAAGCTTCCCGAAGAGTTCTAGTCCTATCTTTTTAATCCTGAATAAGGCCAAACAAGGGGCCCAAGATCTGTAGATGTGGTCTGGGCATAGGGGAGAATGAATGAAAGAGTCAAAGGAACAGGGAGTTGCTTCCGTCTTGCTCTGTGGTCAGTCACAGAAGCAGCCTTTGCATTGTGCTTACAGTGTTTCTTTGTATTTAGCAATAAAAGCTCATGAAGTCTTTGGATTATTCTTAGGCTGCAAACCAAATCTTTGAGTACTCAAGTCTTAAAATGTGACCTGTAGAAATGCTAACATATCTAGGTTATAGTGGGATCTCTAAAAGGTTGGACATTAGTCAATTGGTACAGCAAATAAAAGAGATTATTTTGAGTTACTTTAATTTTCAGATGCTTTCTTGGTGTTTTTCTTATCATTGTCTTTACCTTTCCTCTTTGTACCCATAAAAACCTCCTTAATTCTCTTGCCCAATCTTTCTTACAGCTGACCTCATTTTATTTATATTTGTTCCTCAATGTTCTTGTCTAGGCAAAAGCCTCTACCTTAGCACAAATATTTTGACAGAATGAGAGTTAATATCCAACTATTTAATGTAAAATTTGTCTTTTTTCATTGATTTTATTTGTTTCTTTTGGGTTTTTTTGTTTTGTTTTGTTTTTGAGATGGGGGTTTCCCTATAGCCCCAGCTGACCTGGAACTCACTATGTAGACCAGGCTGGCCTGGAGCTCACAGTGATCTGCCTGCCTCTGGATGCTGGGATTAAAGGCATGTGCCACTACACCCATCTTATTGGTATTTTTAATGTACTTTTACATGTTTTTTACATGTGTGTATGTGCATGACTTTTATAATGAATTAGGTTAGTTTCTTCAAGGTATACTGCTATCCTTGGCTATGATAACATTTTTTTCTTGAAGTGAGAGGCTTGATCCCACTTCAGGGGGTTTGTTCCCTGTTGGTTCTCGAATTTCAATCCTCAGGGTTTACCACTATCTTCTATAAAGGCTTTTTCACTTCTGGAACTTGTTATTTGTCTGTACTGCTGGCTTGAAGAGAACCAGATTTGGAGGGGTTAATGTACACAGCCAGCCAGTGCAGGTGGTCAGGCATTCATAAGGAGGACCATTCTGGAGTATACAGGAAACCAAGGGCAGCATTGGATGGCATGCAAGTTGTCAAGTAGGACAGCTTTTGAAATTCTCCTTTCACACAGTTTTGTTTAGGCCTAGAGTAGGGAGACCTCAACAGGCTTTGAACTACCTAAAATGTGCCAGCTAAACCCAAAATCTTCGGAATCAGACTCACAGAGAGCTTGTTCTTTTTGTAAACAGTGACTAGTCAGACAAATGCAGGTCCTCATGAGGCAGACTCTTGGACATACTGAAATAAGGTAAATGAAAAACTGAGAGGCGAGCTGAGAGGATTCAAGTCCTGAGTGGTAAGTCTGTTTTCTGCAAATGTAGTCCTGTGCCTCGGGATAATTAATCTAGAGTCCTGGCTGGGCATGTAGCTCAGTGGTCAAGCACTTGCCTAGCATGCTAAGGGTAGTGCTTAGCAATGTCTCAGCCCTCAGGGAAGGGAGTCTGGGTCTTCTCTAAGGCACTGGGTCAGGGTATCACTAGCTTTGGAGTCTGTATTTAAGCAATAAAAGATCCAGTAAGTGAACCTATTTGGCAGACTTGGAGGTATCCCATGTGGTCACTTTCTTTAAAGTGTAGATATTTCATAAATCTGAACATTTTCAGTGTATGACATCTTTCATTTATCAGGAAATAATTAAATAGTAGACATTCCCAAATTCTGAATAGGCTTGTATATCAAAATTTCATGATAATTGTAACTCGGTGTTTCCCCCAAATAAACAGTGTTGAAGATGAAGGTAAAGGTATTTAACCCCAAAGCATATTTGTTAGTATCTAGGCCCTCCTCTCCCTGCTCCAGCTGAACTTTCTTGGGTTTTCTGTGTGATCCCCTGAGATGCAAGCTGGGACTGAGGTTGGAGCGCTGGCCAGAGTGGGACTGAACACCTGGAATCTCTGAAGAGCAAATCCTCTTGGCCAACTCAGCGACTCAGCAGGGTTTGTGGTGAGATGACTAATGAAGAATGAGGAAATTGGGGGGCTGGGCTTCCTGTGAGAGAGACTTATAAAGAACAGGGAATGATAAGGAGGAAAAGGTGGAGTGGTCAGAGTTTAGTAAGCAAAGGATTACTTCCTTTTTTTTTGATAATGCCTATCCTTCTCTCATCCCATTTTCCTTTGCTAAACTAACTTCATGGTGGTGCTCTTCTGACCCCTGGCAGGAGTCAGTAGAAATTGGAGAGAAGAAAGAGGATAAAGAGAGGCACTGGGAAGCCCCAGACTGGGAAAGATGAACAACCAAATCTGAAGGGAAGGAGGCCATCTACAGACCTAAGCAATGGTATTCCCAGAAAGTCACTGTTTGCTCTCACAGCTCTTGGTTCTCAAAAGTGGTTTTATTGAAAGTCAGACTGTGAATTACTCTGGAATATTCTAGTATGTTTTGTTTTATTTTGTTTATTCTAGTGCAGTTTTGTTTGTTTTTTGAAACAGGGTCTCACTATGTAGCCCTGGCTACCTGGAACTCACTGTGTAGAACTGGCTGGACCTGAACTCAGAGATGTGCCTGCCTCTGCTTCTAGAATTCTGAGATCAGGGATATGTACTGGCTGGACTTGGGGCAGTTGTTTGTTTTTTGAGTCTCAGTCCAGGCTGATCTGGAACTCTGTGTAGCCCAAGCTGACCTCAAACTTGTAACCCTCTTGCCCCAGTCCATGTCCTACCTGCTGAGTTATGGGATGCTGGGATTATGGGCATGGGTCACTATGCAGGGCAGGGATCAGACCTCTTTCCTCAAATGTTTCAGACATCAGAAACCTGAACCAATCAGCAGGCTGCATAGTTTCTGTTTCACTGAGTGCAGATGATGATGACTGTTCAGTGACTACTACTTTTACTTAGGAAGCTTGATTCATAAGGAAGTTCATAGAATTAAGGCCATTAATGTTACTGAATTATGGAATAATCAGCAAAATAATAGCATACAGTTGGAATTTTACTTTGGAAATTGAGGCAGATTTCTTGATTCTATGAAGACGAAAGCTTTCTCAGGAAACATACCAGATTTTTCCTGTGAAACATTTCTTTGTTCTTAAGATAAGCACCTAAAAAATGTGGCAATAGGGTTTTTTTTTTAAGTGATCCAGCAAACTCTTAAGTTTACTTTTTCCATAGATATTAACGTGTATCAAGCATTGTGTGTTCACAGATGAGATAGGTGTTTACTGGAAGGACCTTCCCCTAGTGATGCAATAGATGATCACAGCACAAGATAATCCTATTGAAAGTTGTATGGCCTAGCAGGGTATTGAAGACAGCCTTGGGCTGGGGTGCAGCTCTGTGGTGCTTGCCTAGCATGCGGGAGATCTTAGGTTCAGTCCTCAGTGCCACAAAAACAAGCAAACAAGTCAAACTTAAAGGTGTGATGACGCTTGATTCGAAGCTTTTAAAGTGGACAGGGTCAGAGTTGGCATTCAAGAGGTGTTTTTTTGAACTGTGGAAAAGGCATGTTAGTGATACTCTAGGGGGGAGACGCCTGATTGCAGACTGAGACAGAAGTAGGATCAGAAATGGAAATTGTTGTTCCTGAAACTGTGCCCAGAAGTCCTTGTCTTTTAACAGGTTTGCATTTATCTTTTAGTCTTCAAGAAACAAAATTCAAAATAAAGCCAATAGACCTCAGAATAGTTTCTTTTTCATTAATCTATATAACTTCATTCCTGGTGAAGATTGAATACCAAGTTTTTGGTTGTTTCCCTCTATGTTAAATGTGGGACTGGGCTTAATACACTGTCCAGTGGCTTTACATGTGTGTCACATCGTTGCATGGCATCTGTACAATGAGGAGCAGACCTGGCCTCACAGATAACTGGTTGCATTTACCATCTGGCTGTATTTTAGTATTGTGATTAAAGG